AAAGCAGGACGTCATTTTCTTTGTCGCCTTTTTTTGTTTTGTTTTATTCTTTATGTAAAAGATAATTGCTCATTCCATGCATATATGTTGTATGTGTGTGTGTGTTTTCAAGCGAATTACTCTATGTGTGTGTGTGTTCGTGTATATTGTCCATTATTATTGAAATCCGGATGAAGAATTCAACTATCTTGAAATAAAATGATGTTTGATGACTTTAGTTTTGTGTTCTTGTTTTATTTTTCTTTCTTTTTAAGAAGTTGATGCATTCAAGCACACACAAAAAAAAACCGTTAGTGCTTTGTTGTTGTTGTCGTTTGATGATTGTAATTGCAAGTCAATTAAATGTTCAAATGAATTTTTTTTGCGGCTGTTTTCCTTTTACATCCCCCTACTTATCCACAAAATAAAGTAAGAAAACTTTTATGCATTTATATTCGTTTCCCAACTAACTACAATGAGTTTTAGTTTTTTTCGCTGGTACTTGGAACAAACAATCATCATCATTATCATTCTTCTATTAATTATACATACATTGTTGTCCTTATCATCTTCATCATCATATGTGATGTGATGAATTTTTATCAAGATAATAGTCGATTGTTGTTTCATAGTGTTTGACCAAAATATGTGTGTGGTTGGTTACACTTGAATTCCACTATATTGATAAATTATTTTTGTTTATGGTCATTTTCACCGAATAAAAACTTTATTCTGGTACAATCTGTTTTGTTTTCTTTTGGTTTAGTATTGATTATCACACACACACACACACACATATCACTTTGTCTATCAACACTGATCTTTCTTTCTTTTTTTAAATTTCTTTTCACTTTTTGGGCAATAAATGAATGCTGGACAGTTTTTTTGTTTTGTTTTTCTTTAATCTCAAAGTGTTTTCCATGTTTTGTTCTGAATTCAAAATTCATCCAAGTGAATCAGATACACGAATACTTGAAAAAAAATCCTCTGAATGGATTGAATAGATGCTGTAAGCAGAAAAAGAAAATCGACGGATCACTCTTTGATTCTTTTAGTTCCATTTTCTTTTTTCGATCTTTTACATCTTTCATTTTCTCTCTCTCTCTCACATCATCATTTTTTTCTCTGTTTTGTTGTTTAAAAGATTCATCATTTTCAAGCATTTTTGCCTCGACCAAACAAACTTTTCGGTTTGCTTGTTCGATATATAAACCCTGTATATGTGTGTGTGAATTACTTTTTTGCCACTTCAACAGTTTTTTTTCAACTTGTCATCATCACCAACATCATTCGTGTTTCCTTCTTTTTTTTCATTTCATTTTCTGGTTCACTTTACTAGCTAGGACCATGTTGTTCACCGACCATTATCATCATCATCATCATCTTCATAGATTCAACGAACAAAAATCTCAACCACTGACAATGATTTTGGATGATTTTGGATGATGATGACCAAACAAGTGGAAAGATACATTTGCGCTTTTATTTTTCATTATTTTCCTTTTTTTCTTTTTTCTTCATCATCGTCGAAAACACACACACATTTTTTATTCGAAAAGAAAACAACAATTCTTTTATGTACATACATACACAATGCTTGCTTTCTTTCTTCTTTTTCATTCAAGTGTCATTGAAAATCTTTTTTACTTCTTCTGCCTCGAAACGTTTTTTTTTTTTGGATTCGAACAATTTTTTCTTGATATTTGTTTGGTGTGGTCCACTCCAAATGTCCTTCTTCTTACATCAAACACAATATGGAACTAGTCATAGACAATTTCCGTGTGAAAAAAAAGAAAACCCACACGATGATCACATCTTTATCATATTCGAAAAAGAATATGCACACACAAACAAAAACCATGTGTTTTTTAACATTATAAACGCCTTAGGTTATGAACGCCAAACATACTGATGCCAAAAAATGTTTCACGATAAATGATGTTGAGCTCTTTTCTTCTTCTCTTGTTTTGGGTTATTGTTGGTTGGATGATAAATCTTTGGTTGCCCAAAGAAATGAATAACCACTACAACTTAGACTAAAGTGATTTTGATAGAAAAAATCGATCATTTTACCGATCACAATTCTATTTTTGAAGATAATATACAAGAAAAGAATATAGAAAATCGGTGTGGTCATTTTATTGTCACAATTTTTCGTTGTTGTTTTTGCTTGTTTATATTCAATGGCCCGAATCCTATATTCAATTCTGATTTATTAATATTATTATTAATTGGAAATTGGCTTTTTATATGGATAAAACGCGAAAGGCCTATTTCCTTTTAGGCAATTTTTGTTTTCGTTTTGTTTTGTGCAAAACACTTTTTGTCCGAACGAATTGATGATCTCTTGGCCGGAACTTTCGTTATGTTTTTTTTTCGTTGTAGGGAGAAACCAAGGGGAAATGATCTTTGGAACTCTATTTTTCTGTTGTTGTCAATGTTATTCCGGATTGCCATCTTATGCTATTTGTTTTTACATTAGAAAATTTCTTTATCGTTTTTTGGATTCTTTTTCTTATTACAATTGATTGATGTGTCTTTTTTGGTTTCGATCTTGTTTTTGTTTGTTATTTGCTTGATTTCTATGCATTGTTTTTTGTTTTTCTCGGCAACAATTCTCCAAAACATTAATTTCTGCTTCACTTACAACAATAATACCCTATCAATTTGACAACAAAATTTTTCGTTGGTTGTCTGATGTTACCATTTGTTTTGTTCATTTATATTGATCCTGTAAGATGTTTTTTGTTTTTTTGTTTCGACAAAGTAAATCGAAAGTTAATCGAAACAGAAAACAAATCAATGTCTGATGATGATGATGATGGTGTACAGAATCAAAATAAATGATAAACAAATTTCACATTGATCCATTCTGGAAAACAAGAAAAACAAAAACATCAGTTCAATCAGTTTCCTATTTGAAATTATATTATAAAAAAAATATTAGCCTCGAATCCTGATGATGATGATTATTATTAACGATTTGTTCTTCAAATTGTATGGTTCGGTTGTCTGATTTCATCTTTTGTTTTTTGTTTCGTAGGGTTTTCTTGATATTATAAATTGTTTTTTATTTTCAAAACAATCGATTTCCCCAACCACAAACCAACGAATAACTTAATTGGTATGGATTGTTTTTTTTTTGTTTTTTCCAATGAAAATATTTATACATTCGAGAAAAACATACGATTCTTTGAAAAAAAAGGAAATAAATCTTTATTTAGTGTAATTTTTCTGAGTAAAACAAGAGAGAGAAAAAAACACTATCTAAAAGTGTTGAATCATAATTCAAAGTTTCTGTTTCTCTTGACCATAATTGAAACGGTGCCATAAATATTGTAATAAAGCTTTTACCTGGCTTTATCAGTTATTATTTTAGTTTTTTTTCACATCTTTACTGCTTAAATGCAGGGCGTGAATTTTATTACGTATAGATTGTCATATTGATCGTGATTTATGCAGCATTCAAACCACCACCAACCGTATGTTTGCATAATGAACAGGTATTTGAATTATATTGAATGTGACAGATTTATTGTGCCTTGAATCCAATAAGCAATTTAAAATGATTGAATACAATGTTGCAAAACGTTGTAAGCTAATATCATCAACATCTTTAACGTACGGCAAGATGCGGTTTTCCTTATCTAAATTATTCAATTTTTAATTTACTTGATTTAATATTCACTTATTTTAAAATTTATAGCCATTTCTTTTGAAAACAAAAAATGTATCCGTTCAATAGAATTTTGTTGTTTAGTTGCTTCAAAAGCCATCTCTCTCTCTTTTTCCTTTCCTGATGGTTTCAGAGATTTATGATCATTACATCTCTCGATTGTTAGATGATGCAAAACGAAATTAAAGAAAAAAAAATGATTCACGTTTGGTTTTTTTTTTGGCAATTGAATAATTTATTATGGTTTTCCTTTGCTTTGGTGGTCAAAACAACAGCCAAAAAAAATTCCGTGAACATTGATGAATCATATATCTTTGATGATTCAATGATTCGTAACAGTTCAATGATTAAATTGAAAAGGAAATTGAGAAAAACGAAAATCAATTTCGATTGGAAAATTCATCATCAAATAACATGTTCATTTGAAAGAATTTATTTCTTATTGAATTTGCAAAAAAATTCCTGATCATAGAAGAAATTGAATTGAAAATTTGTCAATTGGTTTGCATGAGAATTTCTCTTGGGAAAATTATCCTTACACATATTATCAAAAATTATCCATTCGGTTCAATTGATGAAAAAATGTATTCAGTGATTGAAAAAAAATATAATTAATAACTAAAATAATTGAATCGACTAATTTTTTCGTGCTCGATATTATCATCATCTTCGTTTTTTTTCAAATTTTGATTGTTCAGGTTTTCTTTTCCAGGTCACGATAGCGAAGATTCATTCAAATGAATTCCAGAAGAATGAATTCTTAAGAATTTTTTCGCTATCTTTTTTTCAGTTCTTGTTTGAAGCTGAGATATTCACCATCAAAAAACATTAGAATTAATGAAACTGGAACTAATTTGTTTCGCATCATCAAACTAACTTTGAATATTTTGTTCAATGTTTTTTTCTTTCTATTTTCATACACATCACTATCATGGTGTGTGTGTTCACCAAAGATTAATTGATTGATTGATCGATTAACATCGTAACTGTGTCGAATGATAATGCACACAACAAAAAAAAATTTAACCAATTCAGCCATCAAGCTATGTCTGTTTTATAATTGATTACACGAAAGCAAAAAAAAAATTGAAAAAAACCAAAATTTTTTTTTGTAAAATGAACGGGTTAAACGCTGTTGTTGTTGTTGTTATCTACAGACCAGAAAATAAAAAGTAAATTACAAAAATTCTGATCACGTTTTATTCTGAAAAGTTTTTTAAATAATAATTATTAATATTATAATCACTTGAAGACAAGTGGTTGAATACAAATTCATTACATTCATTAACAAATTTGATTAATTAATTAAATTTTCATTTTCAATTGTTTTCTTCATATATAATAGATGCACCGGAAAATCTACGACTATCATCGATTCGTGTTGATGTGATTGAAAATGAACATTTACCCGAAATACGTTGCGATAGTGATGCATTACCCGAAGCAAGTTATCGATGGATTTCAAATTCATTTTATGATAAATTTACTGGTGTTATTGCTGATACATCTATTCTGGCATTGAATCGTACTATTCAACGTGATAGTACCGGTACATATACCTGTATTGCATCGAATAGACATGGTGAAAAACGTATCGATCTACAAATCAATGTTCTTTGTAAGTGATGTGAAGTTTTTTTTTTATTTTCTTTTACTCCAATTCCATTAGCATTCATCGATCGATTTTGACAGATCGATCTAACAATCTAACTATCTATCAATTGTTCGATCGATCGATCGATCAATCGATTGATTGATTGATTGATTATTTCTTTTGTTTCAATATTGTTGTTATATTTGAAATCCATTAATGATTTTTTTTGTTGTTGTTGGGGTTATCATTTTGATCAGATCGTCCATCATGTACTATATATGAAAGTCGTACCGGAAAAGAAAATCAAGATGTTGTATTAATTTGTGAAATAACATTTGCCAATCCAAGTGATGGACTTGAATTTTTTTGGTCATTAAATGGTACTGAATTGAATCAAACATTTATTGATGAATTATCACATCAAGATGGAATGAAATCTAAAATAATAATACCGGCATATGATGAACAATTATTTGGTACATGGACTTGTTCGGCAAGAAATACAGTTGGACAAACTGATCCAAATTGTACATTATTTGTTGATGCACCAATCGGTATGATCTTTTTTTGTTCTGTTTTTTGTTTTATTTATGAATTCATTATTATTCATAACGCACACACCGATACACACACTAAGACTTACACATCTAATAGATGGGCAGTTCAATTGATTCACTTTAGTGGTGTTCTATGTATATTCGTTGTAAAGCACAATTTATTCATTTCTAAAAGTACTTTTTCTTATATGAATTACATACACATTACTTACATATTTGTAATTATGATGCAAGAAGCATTCTCAATTTCCATCATCCAAAATGAGAATTCTCTCATTTTACATTATTACATTTCTTCAAGTTGCTCATAAATAATTTCCACGAACAAAAACTGGAAAATATTTTTTTCAGTTTTTTTAATTATCACACACATTGCATAACCGAAGCGGAGAAAAAATAACCACAAGTCAAGTCAGATGCCAGAAAATTTATATTCAAACAACAAATTCATTCACACGCACCCATAGTAAAATAGCAGTTTCAAGTTGATCCATAAAAAGATTCAAATGTTTGTTCCTTTTATAATTTTTCATTTTAATAATTATTATTAGTTTTTCGGTTGAAAACACCCAAAAAATTAATTAATTTTTGTCAGCAACATTTTTTGGTTCTTTACATTCTTAAGTTATTTGCACTTGGAATTTTTTTCGCCCAAACATTATTTAGCTGTGTTATTTATCGATGAAATTCATGAATAATGATGCTCATCATCATGATGATCCTTATGCATCGATTTTTTCTGTACGAATACCGAGAATGCAAAAAAAAAATTCATTTTAGTGGTCAACGAAAGAATTTCAAAAATGTTTTCGTTTCGGTTTTTGTTTTTGGTTCCGAAGAATTTATAATAGTTATTTTCCTTTAGATAAATGATGCCTAGACAATAAACAATTTAAAGTAAGGTTAGAGGAAGAAAAAAAACAAATGGACCGACCATCGATTCATATATCATACATACATAACAACAACATAAAGCAATCCATCTTTGCCAATTCGATCTGAAATGAGAAATGAATGATCGAACGTAAATTGAATGATCAAAGTATTCTTTTGTTGTTGTTGTTGTTTGATAATGAGAGTGACATACATTTAGCTGAAACATACAGACGGACAAAGAGAGAGAGAGAGAGAGAGAGAATATTGAGTGAGATAGATTGCCCATCCATCTTTGTACAACATTCTACATACATAAACAGCATCACACACACACACATGAATTTGCTCAAATGCATTAACCTTGACTTTTATTTTTTTTTCTCATATAATTCCGAATTCCATTCATTCATCCACCCTCACACACAACAAAACATCAACTTAATCGAATAGCTGCCGAATCGGTTCTAAATGATGAATCATTATTGATCATATCAGCCGTTATTGTAGCCATTATATTTGCCTTTTTATTTATATTATTATGTTTAATATTTATAATGAAACGTCGTCGTCATAAAAACGGTAAGTGGATGATGAATATTTTATTTGTAAAAAACTTTTAAACATTTTTTTCTCTATTCATTTCTCTATGATTTCACTATCTATCAATCTATCCTATTTATTCATTTGCTAAACACTACCAATCTGTCCAAAAGCATTGTCAAGATTCAAGAATCATCATTTATTTAGTCACTACAAACATTTTTTGTAGAAAACAAAATGTCAATGACAATATTAGTAACATTATCCATTATAATGATGATCCATTTGTTCAATCTTTTTTGTGTGTCCAATTAAGAAATTGCTTAGACCTAGATATTTTCATTTGATGATGATCCATATATATTGCGACAAACAAAGTACAACATAATAATAATAATTCATTATTTACTAATTTGCATGTCCATTATGATTTTTTTTGTGTTCCAATTTCATTTTTGGCTAGTTATTATTTTTATGATGAAAATGATGATGATGATCATCATTTTGATGGTACATACAAGTGCCATTATCATTTTTGTGACCAATTTTCGCCTCTGCCATTTATTTTTTCTTGTCCAAAATGAAAAAAATCCCAATGATGATTGTGGTGTCTGAACAATTAAATCTTGAATAGAATTAATGGATTATGATGATGACGATATTCCATTAACATTTGCGGAAAAAACAACCATTGATGTGTTGATCATATCCATCCATTGAAACAATTTTTATAAAGTAGCATCCAAGGATTTAGTCAAGAACAACAAAATAAAACAATGCTTTTTCATGTCTTGTTTCTTGCTTTGAAACTGTATTTCAAACTGTAAATTTTTTCCATTATTTTTTTTCTGTGTCTTAAAATCATCGTTAGTTATAGTTTAGTGGTGTTTTGGTGTGGAGGTCATGATTATGGAGTACAACAACAAAGCGCTGATGTTTTTTTTTAAAAAAATGATAACACAATAGAAATTATGTAAATTCATTCAATCATTTTTTTGTGCATTCGTTAAAAAAAACTTTGCTTACATCATTTATTTTTTCTTCACTCATTTTTGTTTGTTATTTTGATTTTACAACAAAAAAAAAACGAAAAAAAATTGAATGATTGAAGATGATCATCACGATCATCTTGGCCAGAGGTGTTTGAATCAAGAATTATCATATTTTGTTTGTTTTTTAACAAACTAAAAAATCATTCAATCGATTGATTGATGTATTGATTATTCGCACTGATGTCGAACCAAAGTTTTTTTTTGCAATTCTTTTAATATTTACATTTTTTTCCAGCTATCTTTTCAATTAGTTTTTGTTGGAATTCATTTTGTATTTACAATGGTAGTGAATATTTGATGTTGTTTGTTTCATTTGTTCTGTGATCAACATTATTTTTCTGTTTATCATTAATATCATCATCATCATCATCAACAGAATACAAACTTTGTTGTTTATTTACTCAAACAATGCATGTTTATGAGTGTTGACTTTGTTTTTTTTTGTTGTTTTTTGCTTTCGGTATTTTTGGTTTCGTTCATAACAACAACAAAAAATTGTTCCGAAAGAAAATAAAACAAGACAAGATGATGAATGAATCTTTTTTTGTTTGTTGGAACAACCGCACCGCACACATTTATGAAACATATGAATAAATAAATGTGAATTCATGCATTTCGTAAAAAGCATCGACGATGACGACGATGCTTGATTGACTAATGTTAAAGTTTGTGTTGGTTGGTTGTAAACAACTAATGCCGTCGGGCACTTTTATTTTTTCCTGTATGGCTTGTTCATAATGAATATTCTGTGTGTGTATTGGTGAAAAACAAAACCTAAATGAGAATATGGAATATATTTAGTTTGGGAAAAATATAATGAAAATTTTCTTTTTTTGCTATGCGGTTGTGGATTCCTGTTCATTGCATTCAAAAAATATTTATATTCATTTAGAGGAATTCAGGGGATATATTCTTGTTTTGATCTATTTTCAACAGTGGTGTAGTAGTAGTAGCCATTGGTCAAATTCATTTTTTTTCATTAAATTTTAACTTTTTTTTACATTTCATTTCGAATGATTATTGAAACAAAACAAAAACAAAGTTTAAATAAAAATATTCCCATTAGCGAACATGTTTCTTTTTCGAGATAATGATGATGATGATGACAACAGAGAAAAACAATGTTTTTGTTTGTTTTGTTTGAATTCACAATTTTGTTGTTGTTGTTGATGTGATTACAAAATCTGTCCTACATTTTGGTCAGATTATCATATACAAATATACAGTATACATTATTCATTTGTTTATTTAGATGATATTTGGGATTCTTTTTTGTTGATTTCATTTGAATGATGTTTGTAGCCATTCGATCATAATGATCTTCAATGGTAATGATGATGATGATGATGATGACAATGGAACAAATTGAATAAACTCCAAAACCAAAAAATCATGACTTTGAATCTGAATTTTTTGTTTAGTTTTGATTTTTCTCATTTAAATTCCTTTCATCGCATTCAATCATTGCATTGTATCACTGGGTCTCTCTTGTTTTCTTTTTTTGCTTTTACTCAATATTTTAATTCGATTATTGTCACCAAATTGAGAGATATATAGAGTGAATAATAAAAAAGAAGCCAAAGAAAGATTCTTTCATTGCAAATTTATAAACACACAAACAAACACACAATGTTCCCTGATGAATTGTGATGCATTACACACACACACACATTGTATAAATTGTCACGAGCTTTTTTACAAATATATTTTACTATTCTAAATTCATTCATTCATTCATTCATTTATTCAAACAAAGTTTTATTTACACAGACACAGAATGAAATTGAAAATAAAATAAAAAAAAAACTTTGTCAACATAATCATGGGTAATTTCAAAATAATATTATTGAAAACAAAAATTTACAAAGCCAATGAAAAGAAGAAGAAAAAATCATTTATTAAAATGATCGAACAAGTTGTGTGTGTTCATAGGATTTGAATTGATAAAATCAATGAATGAATGAATGAATGAATGAATGTAAAATGAATTCCATTTCACCCACTTTACAGTATTCGTATAATGTCGAATAAAGAAAGTATTCAAAAATTGATACATTTAGTTTATATTCAAATTTTTTTTTCAATGATTCAATCGTTATCATTGCAAACAAACATTCGCTTTTCATCAGAAACAAAATGTACTGTTTTGTGTTCCCAATATTTAAATTTGTTTCATTTTCTTTTCGTTGGTGGTTTTTTTAACGAAGAAACGAAAAAAAAATGAATCTTGATTTTGTTTGCTATTTTTCAACAACAAAATAATAACAACAAACAAAGTCTGCTTGATGTGTCCAAATTATAAATGCAAAAAAGATGTGGATGATGATGATAATATCAATTTGGCCACATCGTGGTTAATGGCCACATTCATTCCTTATTCACTAGAAAGGTGTCAAATTTTCATACAATTATCACACACACACACACACACACACAATGGCGCCATATATTTATAATAATAACAGTGTTTTTCCCCATTTAAAAAAGCCAAAAAACTTACTTTTTTAATTTCATTTTCCTTAATTTTCATTCTGTGTTTCTCTGTTTTTTTTCTGCTTTTTGTTATTAATATATTTTTTTTTTGTTTTCGTTTAACACTTATTATTATTTTTATCTTCCATCCTTCCCTCTTGTTTTTTAATATTTTTTGAATCCATTTGTTGAACCCCCCGGAAAATTCATCACAATCATCAACGAACAACCATCCATGTTATCATCAATCGTCCATCTTTTATTCCCCACAAAAAAAAATCTCAATCAATTGTCATTGTTGTCGATCTCAACACATGTAATTTGTTCTCATATCTTTTATGTTGGTCATTTTTTTTCACCCAAAAAATTACAGAAAAAGATAAACGTGAAAAGTAAGTTTGTTGTTGGTTTTGTTGTAAAAACAAATCAATTTTTTTCTTTGGTTGTTGTCGAGAATTTAATCCTCGATTTTTGGGTGCCATTCATTCATTCAAACAAACGCACGACAAAAGCAAAAAAAAAATGTTTGCTTGCTTGCTTTATATTTTGCTTGTCTACGCGATGAGAGAATGACCACTTGACATTTGCCCANTCTTTTATTCCCAAAAAATAAAATCTCAATCAATTGTCATTGTTGTTGTCGATCTCAACACATGTAATTTTTTCTCATATCATTTATTTTATTTGGTTATTTTTTACCCCAGAAAAAGTAAAACGTGAAAAGTAAGTGGTGTTGTTGGTTTTGTTGTAAAAACAAATCAATTTTTTCTTAGTTATTGCCGAGAATTTAATCCTCGACTTTGGTGCCATTCATTCATTCAAACAAACACACGAATATATAAACTAACGACAAATGCTTGCTTTATATTTTGCTTGTCTACGCGATGAGAGAATGACCACTTGACATTTGCCCACATACACACATAACCTCGAAACGGAAGGAAGGAAGGAAATGGGTAAATCACATGTATTGTGACAATAACAACAACAAAAACTGCCCAAAAAAAAATTGATAAAAATGGTCTTTTGAAGGCCAGGTTTGTTTGTTTGTTAGTTTTTAATTATCGAGTACGTTAACATTGTGAATTTTCATAACACAACACACAAGTCATTAGAGAAGGAAAAAAATAAAACGGTTTTATTTCAATCTTCTATATGGAATCTTCCAAGAAGAAAAAAAGAAATTCGTTCTCTTTTTCAAATTGTTATTATTGTCGGTCTCAACATTTTCATGTTATTTTGACAATTCATGAAAATTCGGGTTATGTTGATAGATTTTGTTGCTGTATCATAAATTTCTATGAAAATTTATACGATACAATAGCAAAACCGACCTTCCCGATAGAGTTTTATTTTCCAAACAAAATAAATAAAAAAAATCTTCAAAAGTAAACTTTTATTGTATGATTTGCAAGAGATATGTTTAGAATCATAAAATATTGTTCCAAAAATGTTTATTTGTGTGTTTACAATCGAATCAACTTTGTGGTTATTTATTACCACCCCCCTAAATACATTAATCTCAACTTCTTTTCTTTTTTGTTGTTGTTTGGTTTGGCTTATTGTTTAATCGAACCGATATTATTCTTGGTTAGATTCTATTAATGTATGATGATCAGGAGCAACAAAAATAGCAATAGTAAAAGTAACGACAACGTAAAATCTGTAAAACCATTTCAGAACCATTGATTTTTTTGGGATTCAATCCAGGCGAAAAGCCAATTGGTTTTATTCGTTCGATCGACCGGTAATTAATGGCAATTTTGTACAATTCTAGCATTAACCATTGTTGTGATTAATGTTTGATGATTTTTTCACTCATTTGACCTATTGCTGCTTGAATGATTTGCCCTTTAACAAACAAACAAGCAAATTGTTTTCTAAATGATGGTTTTGTTTTTGTTTTTCCTATTCTTTTCAATTGAACAAACGACAAATAACATTTCAACGTCCAGTTAGTCTATCGTTAGTCTGATTCTTTTTTCTTTTTTTGTGTCCAAGCTAGCCATCCGCTTAATTTTGTGTATGAATGAATCTCTTCAGTTGTTTTGTCCAACTAGTTGGCTCCATACTCATTACTTATGGTTTCCAAAAGTTTTTTTTTCATATTACGATGATTATGATGATGGAGATGACGTTCATATATATATGATTCATTTGTCGAGAGGATTTAATGATCCTCATAATAATTGTTCTCTTCCTCTCTTTTTCTCTTTCTAAAAACAAAAAACGATAATAATCATTCTTTCTTCAGTCAGTGTATGTAATTGAGAATCAAAAAAAATCCAGTTTTCTTTGAAAATATTCTTCTGTTTTGTGTCTGGACCAAAACAAGAACAGGAAAAAGAATAGGAAAAAATTTTTTTTTTTTAGTTCAAGAATTGAAAAATATCGATTTTTGATTAGTCATCGACGTATCATCGATAGTTCCATACACACACAAATGTTGATAAATATCAATGATTATTGTCGATGTAGAGAGAGATAAAACAAAAAACCGTGTTCAGCAATTTAGTAGAATGTTGTCCGGTTTTGTTTTTTTCGGACAAACATTTGGAATCCAAACAAAGTTTAATTAGTTTACAGATGAATAGATTCGAAAAAACTTTGATTATTGACAATGCACACAAACAAAAAAAAAATAAAAGAATTTCAATAATTTCATCAGTTAGTTTTATCTGGATACTTTTGATATTGATCAATGTTTTGTTTTTCGGTCGAATTTCATTCGATTCATATGTTTCAATCATAGATAAATTTCAATTTTTCTTCAGAGGGGGGAAAAGAAATTCTTTCGAATAATAACTGAATTCGTACAAATCTGTCAATCTTATTTTTTTCTCCCCTCTACCGATATTATCATCACCATAAACATATATTAATTGGACATCATTTTTTTGTGACAAGTTTTGTCGTTTGTTTTTCTACTAAATGTTTCGTTTGATTGTTTTGTTGATGTAAGTGCATGTCGTATAAAGCAAACAAAAAAACATGTCGTCATAATGTTTTTTTTCCATATAAAATTCGTATTGGAATTAAGAATTTTTTTCTATTATTTTTCTTTGTTCGATTCGATTCGATTTGGTTTTCGCTTGTGTTTATCATTACACATTTTGAATTCTTTGCACACATCATTCAAAAATGTCAACAAAAAAATAATGGTTTCTCTTTCTTTCTCTCTCTCGTTGAGAATTTTCCAAAATTCTTAAAAATGTAGCAAGCAAAAAATATTACATCTGTTTGTGTGTGTTTGATGCGTTTGGTTTTATGAATGTCAATCTAAAATGTTTTTTTTACAAAAACCCCAAAATCATATAACCCGATAATCATCAAATTTTTTTTCTCGTTTTTTTCCTATCATCATCATTCCCCCCATCACCAATATGATTGTCACATTCCAATTTGCTATTGTTTGATGCTTATTTTGTTTAAATATTGCTGTCAATACGAAAAAAATCACGTTGTTGATCCACTTTAAATGTCACATATTTTTTCCAATATAACAATCATCATCATCATAATCATCAATAATCAGTCCGGATGGAGATCGTTCACCAACACCAAGCTCATCGACAAGTCGTGTTTCATCCAATCAAAATGGTATTGTATAATACATACTGTGTCATCATAATTTTTTTCTCTCTTTCATCTAAATCATTTTCCATTTCAATCAAAAAAATCACTTTCTGTTGTTTCCTTTGGTGGTATTTTGAAATCCAAATTCATTTACAGTCATTCATCAAGGCATCATGATCCAAGAGCCAATCAACCAGGGAAATTTTATCTTTGGTTAGATACAGCTGCTGCTGCTGATTTGTTTATTTGTTATTTTGAAAGTCATTTTAGATTAGTTTTTTCTTCTTTTTTGATTATTCAAATAATCTCAAGAGTGAATTTTTTAGGTTTTAATGATGCGGTTATGAGATTTTTTTCAATGTTGATGATGGCTGCGGTTGGATTTTTGTTTTCCAATACCCGGTGCTGACATGATCGAAAAACAAAAACAAAAATCATGAGCGAAAATGACAATCTTCTGTCGTCAAAATAATAGCCTATTATCTTTGAAGCCAATCTCCGAATTTTTTCACTATTTCCCTTTATTTATATCAACATTGTCAATCTTTTTCGTTTTCGGAAAATAAAACGGATTATTATTATTATTTTGCGCCGCATCCTTTTCTTTCCTTTCTCTCTCTCTCTCTCTGTTTTCTTGCCTACTGGTCTTTCCATTAGTTAATCATTGTCGTCTCCATCTATGAATCTATGAATCCATTCGTTTTTTCTCTAATGGTTACGATGATATTGAATATTCCTACTATTATAAAATCACACATTGAATCATAATCGTTATTCAAGATGTGAACGTGAAAATAAAATCTTTTCTTTTCTTTGTTTTAAATCGATGTGAAAGTGTGAAAGTGTGAACCATCATTATATCCTTGGATAATGATCATACTATCGATAGTATCGTGTGCATTAAATCGATTGGCCATTGTTTGTTTATTTCTGTTTCTGTTTCTGTAAGCATCAATATTGTATCAAACGATTAAACGATTTTATTGTCTTTTTATTTTTTTTGTTTGTTTGTCTCCTGTATTATACATCATCTCAAATCATGTTGATGATGATCATCATCATCATTATTCTTTTGTTTCAATCTTTTTGACATTGTGCTGACTTTACAATATTCTTTATTTCTTTCAATTCACTTTCTCTCTATAACTTTTTCGCTTTCGATCATTGATGATGATGATGATGATCAAACTACATTATGTGAATGTAAATTAATATAATACGATGGTCCTTCAAGATGGCCACCACCATCATCAAATGTCAAAACATTTTTTTCTTTTTTTGTTCCGAAAATCTCAGACGAAATCGGAATTTTTCATTTTCTTCTTCTTCATCGTTGGTTATATTATCAGCAGATTTACTATCCATCCAAAAGAAATTTTTCCTTTTTTTTCTTGTTTAAACATTTTTTTTCTATCTTTTTTCATTTTCACTTTCTGTTTTACATAAACACACAGACATACACATAGATCTTTATCGAAAGATTCTTTTTCTTTTCGTTTGCTTGGCTAATCAATGCAAATCTTTTTAGCATACAATTTTGATTTAAGCCTGTTTAGCTATTCTCGAATGAACATTGCTAAAATATAAAAGAGTCGAGAATCTAATAAAGCTGAATGAATCGCGACCAAAATCACATTTCACCCTTAAGGCCTGTCGATAGAAAAAAAACTACACAGAATCGGACATGGTTCGGGATTCTATACGAGCTGTCAACATTGATGGCATATTGCTAGTGCTTATTTGAATCTTACTACTATGCTTTTGCTTTTTGCATTTTTTTTTCCGTTTTGTTCCTTTTTCAAAATTCTTTTTCTCTTCTTTTGATTTTGTATTTTCATTTAAAATTCAATTTAACCATAGCAGCTTCCTCCTAATCCTTTTTTTTATGAATCTAATTTACAGTGCATAATTTATTTTCTTTTCACTGATTCATTGATGTTATATATTTTTTTTTCACTGATTCATAGATATTATAAGCCAAAAAAGTCAAACAAGCTCTAAGAAAGCAACAACCGAAACTGAACGTTTATCATCATCAAATTCATCAACAACAGCAACAATGCCAACATCCGGTGATATGTATGAAAATATGAATTTTCATCGAAAGGTAATTGAATATTTTTTTGAAACATTACACAAACACAAAGACACTATTGAATGTGAATCAAAAATTTAAATTGAAATTAATTTTCCGCTTTTTTAAATGCTATGTTTTATATGTGCTACACAGCCGAATTGCCTAACAAATCTTAATGGAATGGCTTCTTCTTATTATCATCATCATAATCCAATGCTTCCACAATCATCATCACCAGTTACAGCTACACCTGCAACTGTTTCATCAATATCACCTATTCCTCCTACCTATGATAATGCAACCAAATCATTCAATAATACTATTGAAGCTTTTCGTCGTACTCAATCGGCAAGATTCCCATCGAATCAGGTAAAATTAACTTGCTTTATATAGATATGTCATTGCTTTAACGCCCCAAATGCTTTGAAATTACCACAGAATCTTGGTCTTAATATATACAGTATTTATAATGATCCATCACAAGCCTTAATGTATGCAGATCTAAAATTACCACCACCTACAATTGCGCCTAAACCAATATCCAATGATATTGCTTCAATGGTTAATCATCATAATCATCCTCATCATCATCATAATCATAATCATTCACAACAACAACAACATCAACAACGTTTTTCAACATCGATGACCAAAAATCATTCATTAGCTCAATATCAACATCATCATTCTTCAAATACATCATTTCATTCATCAACATTGGCCAAAACAAATTCAAATAATATGTATCAACCATTAGGATCAATAATACAATCAAACAATCGTACAATACAACAACAACAACAACATTATCCAAATCATGTATCATCATCACAATCATCATCATTATCATCAAACAATATACATAATAATAATAATAATCAACAAAACAATGGATCATCATCTGATTCATCAACACCACCATCACTATCAACATCAAGTACGAATAGTAATCATTATAATGTAACCAATAGTGGTGGTTATGGAAGTAATATTTCACCATACATCCATCATACTTATGATCGACCTGATTCGATTAAACATCAATCACATATGTCTTTGGCTAAAAGAATGGCAACTATATCAAATTCTACAAATCATTCATCATATATTGCTGGTTCTTTATTACCACCGACTGATGATTCTCGTTCATCATCATCATCGAATCGAAGTCATCATCGTAATCCGCCACCAACATCAGCAACAATAACAACAACAACCGGTTCTAATGATGATGGTGGTATAAGGTCAAATAACTTTATTTATCATCCAAATCATCATTCGAATAATATAGACAACGAAATTACAGCCATTGGTGGTGGACATTGTGAGTACGCAATTCTACGATTCGATAATCCACCATCACCACAATCAAGTCAATGTTGATGATCCATTTTTATTATTATTTGTTTTTGTTATGATTTTTATTATAATTTTGTTGTTATTGCCGATGATTTTTTTTGTTCTTCTTAATTTATTCATTCATTTCATTGTTTCATTTATTTATTATTAATTTCTTCACCAAATTCATTCATTTATTTTGATTATCGATGCATTATATCTTCTGGTTTTGTTTCTTACCTCATTGCCTAACTAACTTTGCTTTTCTTTCTAATCAATTTTCTTTTCTTTACTTTTCCTCTATCCCATTGTATCTTTTTCTTTCAATCTTTCTTTCTTTTAATCTATGCTATTTATTATCATAAATCAAATCCATTTAATCGGATTATAAAGCCGTTTGGGAGAGATATGGACGACATCCTGTACGCAGACATTTACGAGGATGTGAAAAATGGTAAAATAAAAGATCCACGACCAAAACCACCACCATTACCACCGAAACCTGGCACTGCTGTTAATGCTAATTTGTTTATGCCTCAAACACCACCAAAACGTCCAGCTCATCTACAGATGAGAAAACATTATTCATAAGTGCCTACAAAATGATATTGACATTAAGATACATTTACTATCTATCTATCTATTGTTTGTTGAAAATTATTTCCTCTTAAAAAAAATTCTATTCTTTTCACATCTCGAATTAATCGAAGGTATACCAAACTAGAGAATTATGACCCAATCAAAAAAAACAAAAACAAATTATCTGAAAAAAGCTTTATATTATTTATCTAATGATCAAACTGGGTATCAAAAAATATTCTGTGATTCTCTAGTTTTCTTTTTTTTCTAATTATCAAACTGCGTTTATGATCAAAATTTTTGAGCACAGGGTTTTTTTTTTGGAAAAAAAATGAAAATCTTGTTTCTTCTTCTTCTCTTAATCTTCTAACCAAAAAACAATTTTCGAATACCAGAATGATATATAAACATCGACGACAACTGCATCAAAATAACAATTTAGTCAATTCATCATCTCACCTTTTTCTTTTGTTATTATTATTATTTTTCTTATTTTGGCTTTTTTTCTCTTCTTTTACCTGTATATTTTACCGTTTATTTAACTTTTTTTTAAATAAAATGTAAATAAAATCCGATTTTAATGAATAACATTGTTGTATTTTTTTGGTTTGTTTGTTGAAAATATTTTGTACGATTTTGTTCCATTTTGTTCAAATTCAACACTAAAACGCTGCCATCTAGTGAAAAGTTGAAAAACTTTTATTTTTTACCTTTTTCACAATTGTTTACATTTCACATCACTAGATAGCACGATCATAGCAGTTTTCGTTATTTTTTTTCAAATTTGAAAAATATTATGGCGGAATCGCGAATGAATGGCGATGACATTCTATATATTTTTTTCACCCGTTTTTTTTTGGATTCATTCAATTAATAAAAATATTTGAATATTGTTGCTTGCTTTTGTTGAATTTGTTGTTCTATAGAATTGTTAATTTCATTCATTTCAAATTCTAGATATCCTTATTATCAACAAACAACAACAACAAAAATAATAGAAAAATTTATCCAATTCGATTCTACATTGATCACGATTCATTTTTCGATTTGATACACTTCCACACACACCGAATACCCCCTTCTTATGGCAACACAGAATCTATACCGCTAGATCTTTTCAACTTTTTGCTAGATGCATTATAACAACTATATAGTTAGGTGAATTGGATTCGAAAACAACAAAAACAACAAAATGGAATCGGGTGGCGCTAAATTTTTTTATTTTCGGGATACTTGTGCATTCCATATTCAGCTTTTGAACAATCCGGTTATTCCTGTGTGTGTGTGTGTCTATGTTTGTTTGTGTATTTCGTTTTTCGGTAAGTCCATTTCAAACGAAAATTCTTCATAACCATCCAGTGTCTGTGTTTAATTCATATAAACTATACATTATTTCAACGGATAATATTTTGAAAAAACAACTTGTTTGTCCCAACGTGAAACACTCTCTCTTATTTTTTATCACTTTTGACTGATAACCGATTCCAGTTGATTGATCTATCAGTGATTCTGTTTATTTATTTATCAATCTATCTATGTGTTTATAATTGGAAACTTTTTCCATTGTGCATATCTGAGAGAAGAGAGTAGAGATAAAAAAATGTTGATTAATCTAACTTAGCATCCATAGAAATAAAACATAAATAAAAAAAATCATTTGGGAATCATCATCCAAAACAATCATCAAATGTATCATGAACCCAAAATAGTTCAATATATTCGTCATATCAAATGTTGTAGTTGTTGATTCTTCTGTTCTGCTACTGTTTCGTTAATTGTAAGTACCGTTTGTTTTTTTTTTCATTTCATTTCCCTAGTTACATTTGTGAATTTCTATTACTTTTTTCCTCATCGTTGCTTGCTGGTAATCTTTGAATGTCATGATCCATAATAATGGATAATGGAATAAAGTAGTGAATCAACAACAACAGAAAGAAAAAAATCTGACTATTTATCATTCACTACATCATATCAACATCATCACTATCATTGAATTTGTCGGGCTCATGAGACACAGGAATTGTTCTAGTTTTTTTTCTTGTACATTTTTTTCTTGTTCTTTTTGGATGAATTGTTCAAATATGAAATGGATGCTATTTAAAAACATTTGAATTCCATCATTTTATCAGAATGTTATTTATTGAAGATGAAAGAATCAGTAAAAAAAATTAAATACTTTATAATCTTGACTTGTAAAATGGTTTTGTCATTCATCAATGTTATTGTTGTTGTTGTTGTTGTTTTAGGATGTATTATGCCTGATGACAATGACAATGATAATGGTGTGTGGTGTGGTACACATTAATCGATTCTTTTTAGTTTTGTCTCCATTCAACAATCCATCAAACACACACCACATACAAATTGAAACTTTGTTGTTGTCCTCGCGAACAACTTCATTATTCTGTGAAAAAAATAACAGTTCCGGATCCTATTGTTTTTGTTTTTTTGGTTGTTTCTTGCATTTTCATTGAGTTTTTTGTTTTTTGTCTCTTTTTTTCGAGCTCAATTAAAGATTCCATTGTGTGTGTGGGTGTTGAGAACACAAATTTTTTTTCCATTTAAAATAATGAAAGAAACATTCTTTGGGTTTATTCTGAAATCGCTAATGTAGTGATGATGATGATGATGATGATACTTCTGTAAACCATTTTCAAAGCTAATCGACATACACTATGATGATGATGTCATTCTTAGTGAATGAATTTTGAGTGAATCTTTTTGTTTTGTTTTGGAATCGATTGTTTTGCTTTATTTCCACTGTTGACAACAACAACTGTTTATGTAAGTGCAAGTATAATGTACAAATTTCATCAAGCGAAAATTCTCTTTCGCCATCCCCACCTTCCCGAAAGAAAACAAAAAACCTATGGAATATTTTTATGGTGTCTAAATCCACAGAAAGAATAAACAAAAAAAATTGAATAACCAAATTCGGGTTGGAACAATATTTTTGTTTTTTGTTTTTGTTTATCGTTCAGTTATAAATCAATAAGTACACATTGTACCTTTTTTTAATACTAAACTCTTGCCCTGTTTTTTCATTTGCATGTTTTAATGGTGCGTGATGTGTCCATTGTCCGATGGTGGTGGTGTTTGTATTAATGATGGCTTTGTTTGTTTGTTTGTTTTTTTTGTCACTTTGGCTTTATTGTGTTAATATTTTTTTTCGGGCAATTCATTGATGCATATTATTCTGATGAATAATGTTGTTATTTCATAAGCTTGACTAGATTCATTTTTTTTCTGGTCAAAACTAATCACTAAACACATGTATAGTGATGATCGTTATAGATATTAATAATAATGATGATGAGGTACATACATAAAACCAACCAGGACGATCATAATGATCATCATCTCGCCCTTTGTCCACTATATTCAGTGACAACAATAGTGCCAAAAACAAAATTCATAAAACTAAAAACTAAAATGTTGCCTTTATCATTCAAGTGTATATCCGATGTGATTATAAT